GAAAGACAATCTGGCATTCTGACGTTCAGATTCATAAACGTTCCCAGAAAAAAAGAAAAAGATACAAAAAGGAACGAGAGAGTTAAATATATATATATATATATATATATATATATAAATAATACTGACCTGCAATCGTTGCCTGAGAGTAGGCCTGAGCTCGGCGCGCATCCTCTCAAACCGGAAGACCCAAGCGACCCCGATCACGGCGTCGCCGAAAAGAAGCGCCAGAAGCAGGACCCAATAGGCGTTGAGAAGTCTTGCGCTCAATCTCCTCGCCGCTATGCAACCCAACAATTGCACCAGGCCCAACTGCGTGGCCAACGCCAGGTAAGCGTAGAGGGCTGTCGGGTCGTATGCACGGGGCACCCCGGGCACCACGTACCGGCGTGGATCACCGGTGAATAAAAGCGTTCGTGAGACCGCGGCTGCGAAGCCTAGCGCGCTACCGAGCAGCACCAAGTTACAGGTGTAGATCCAGAGCCGGTAATATCGCATCGCGACGTCCTGGCCACCCTCGGCGCGTCTTTGGGACGTCACCGACGCCGCCGCCTCGTCGGCGGCGCACGAACGATTACTGTCTCTTCTGCTACCTCCTTTAAGTATGTCGTCGTTCTTATTGTTATTGTTATTGTTATTGTTAATGTTAATGTTGTTGTTGTTGTTATTGTTGTTATTGTTGTTGTTGGTTGTCGTGGTGGTGATGGTAGTGTCAATGGAGTGGCTGTGCTCTTGACAGTCGTCGAGCAGGAATAAGAAGGGTGGCTTCGCGTTGCAGTCCTTGTTCGCTGTCTTTTGGCTGTGCGTCGACTGCGGGGTGACTGAACGTTGCAGCAGCATCACCGTCATACTATCGGTGCCTCCCTGGTACGCGTGTCCTCGTCGTTAAGGATTATACCGTCCTGGTGGAGAATGGAAGCGGGAAGCGTGTGTGTGTGTATGTGTGCGCGCGCGTGTGTATATGTGTGTGTGTGTTTGTGTGTGCGCGTGTGTGTTTATCGAGATCGGGAGAGCTTCCTCCGCGTCGAGGTGGACGAGCAAATGTGCAGAGTGAGAAACGGCGCGTGTCACGCGAACTCCCCGACAGTGGTAGCGGTCTATTGTAACTTCTCGGCCAATCCGGAGAGGTTCTATATATCTCTGTTTTCTCTCTTCTTCCTCCTCCGCGTTTCCTTCTCCT